TTTCAGTTTTTACAACAATACTATTATCAAGGGAAACGAGTGAGTGTTAAAACGGCACCGCAAACATTCTAAATGAAAAAATAAATGGGTTTACACTCCATACATTTTGAGACGCCCCATGTACAATGCTCTGTGATTCTATTTTTATGGTTTGTTGAATTGGAAATTCTGATAAAACTGTAGACAAATAAATTTTTAACAGATCAAACTATCGAACTGATTCACACTTTTGCTCGATGAGAGAGGAAGCACGAGTGACGAGACAAACAGAATGAGTGGTACCTAATAAGTTTAGCGTCATTCACTTTTCACGGACCAATCATTTGAACATCTCGTGATTAGTGTGATGAAATTGACTGATTCTGAGTACGAATTGGTCAGATGTTGCTAAAAATTGTTCATATTCGGTTCCGACAAAAGACGTCATCCCGACACACATGTTGGAACCGAGGACGAGTGCGGGGGAGTCGAATTTCGATCAGGAGAACAAACGCACATACACAAATAATGAAGCACAAGTGCAAACAGAAAGGAAACTCGAAGTCGTGTACATTTATCCGCTGACGAGTGATCAGTTCGGGAGCTCAGTTGTATTACGTATTGTCCTCATCGGAATGCTAATTGGTTTACGGGGGTGTGAGACTATCAATTCGTGATGTGCCACGTACAAAACAGAATTACCTAAATAGACACACTCGAATGCTAATGGGAATACTTGTTCTAAATATTTTTTACCATGATAGATAAAATAACTCGTAGCTTGTACCACGATGGATGCGGTACATGAGTACTGAAAATGCATACATTAGAAAAGAATTGCATTTTACCAGAAGGGTTCGATCGACTGGTGACTGGTGTTGTTACAGTGTTATAGATGTGGGTAAACGAAGAAATAATCTAGCGAACGAATATCATTTTAGACAATACAGGGAGGCTAAAATGAACGTTGACTAACTTTATCAAAACAAGTGACATTGAGCACACCGCAGACGTTGATAAGGGACGGATTGATGCAGTAGATACCCTTTCCTCGCAGTCGACGTTGAGCAAACACTACGCCCACCGTCATGGCCATCGGTAATGCAGGTGGAACGCACACTGTGATCAAGTCCAGTGCACGTAAGACGATCGTTTTTACGGCTGTCCCCGAACGGTGCTACGAAGACAAATCAGAAGCAAAGGATCGTGAAGTGAAAGTAAATGAAGGATGTGGTGTATTTAACATTGGCTTTATCGTACAGTCTGTGTTTCTGTAGAGATTATCATATTATCGCCTGTTTAGCAACGAAATCTATGAACTACATACTCCAAGAACAAGTTATTCGGGGGCGTTCTAAAAGCTACTATCATAAAGCAACGAAGAACGGTATGCAATAGACGACGATCATTAACCAGAAGCACAAAACAGATAAGGTGATACACTCTAAGCATCAAAGCGATTCGTCACTTGAAAAATCCCAGCGGTCTCTCAAAAACGATGGCAGTGTCATCACTCCCGTGGATCAAAAAGTTACTTGTGCAAACCAGTACTCCAGGTAATTGATTTATGCTGATGAAAAAACAGTTGATTGCCGTTTGCCGCACTTTGGGGCTGTTTTCTTTCCGCGTGTGTTCCAACGAAAGTCAGAAAGATGAAGCTATGTATAAAATAATGTCAAGTGGATTGGGAAAAATAATACATGAAAAGGTGAAACTATCCATATTTTATTATGCTACTTCAAGTGCTCGGTTAAAAATTGGGTGATCCTACAAAGATGCTCACTTGCCCCTAGAATTTCATCTACACAGCCCAAATCAACGAGTTTGGTTGATACCTTTCGTCTACACTGAAAACTAATCATTCTAAAACCGAAACTCTCCGCCAGACATAAAGGCTAGTTACAGTAATCTATAATACATAAAAATAAATGCACGCCTGCCTGCTTCTTCCAAATACTAGACCAGTACACTGAAATCGGTGTTTGGACTCCGATTTCTATTAGACGCATCTCATATCGCAACCGTACAAAAACCTGTTTCGATTTTTACCTTGCTGTGGATGAGAGTAGACTTATTGGTGAACACAGACAGAACCGGAGGCTTTTGATCGGGTGAGTACAAGAACTCAGAGTGAAGTGCACATAGACCACTGGTGACTAAGTCCAGCTTTTTGCGGGGAAGAATCCTCAACTCAGATCAGGGCTTAGGGCCTGTTTTCACCATCCATTGCTATCTCAAGTGGAGTGCGACAATGCTGCCCACCATCCACATTCCTTTTCAACTTAGTCACAGTGGATGTTCCGCAGTTTTTGTATGGTCTAGAAAAAAGTGGATTTGAACTCCTCCCATGGAACAGAGTTCTTGACGTGGAATATGCAGATGGTATCACCTTGCTGGGTAATAATAATATACAAGCAATCTAACTTGTTTTTTCCCAGCCGCTTGGCGATGGTATGGTATATGCCTTGCACCGTGTAAGTGCCAAGTGCTTCTACACGACTGATAGGAGTCTGTGCCTGCAATAACCATTTGTAGTAACCGGGCTGAAGTAGCTGAGAGTTTTCAAGTCAAGTCAAGAATAGCTTTATGCACCCAAAGGGTGCCTCGGGAGCTTGATCGCAACTAGATTCGCTTTTGCCAACCCACGACACCTGTGACGCCCCCAAGACATCCGATTGCCTTTTAAGGGAAGGGTATACAATGTCGCGGCTCGTAGTGTTTTGCTTTAAGGTTGTGAGACTTGGGCCCTACCTGTTGACNACGATGCGCATCGACTAGTTGTATCCGGTTATCGCTGTCTTTAAAGCATTTCTCCTGTCCTGTGAGTAATGACGAGGTTCGCCATCGTATGTAGGTTGCTGATAGTGGCTCTCTAAAATAACTCGCAATGTAACGCATCCGATGGTTCGGTCATGTTTTGCGTATAAGTGTCCATCGTCTACCTCTCCGTGCTCTCTTGGCACGTGCTGGACAAGACTGGAAGAAACGTCGTGGCGGTCAGACCATGGCCTAAGTTAACTTCAGTACTGGATTCCGTTGGTGCAGCCCGCCTTTCAGGTTGGAGCACAAGGGATGAGGATTGTCGTTGGTTGGAGATGCTGAGAGATACTGCTCCGAACAGAAGCCACTGTCTGTTAAAATCCCGTGCTCCATAACGAGACAAACGACTACACAAAAACATTAAAAAGTGTACGATGAAACAAAAAACATCGTTCTTCTGGTTCTATTTCTCCGTATTTCTACCCAAATCCCTCTGCGCACTTTCCTCGTCGCATTGGCACTACGCTTGTTAGCAAACCGGTGATTACTGTGGATTGGAGGAGAATGCTCTACCGAGGAAGGAACAAAACAGACACCACTGACGATGCGATTCACAAGAGTCGAGTTCACAAATTAGGCAATGCATATGAAATCTTCGTAACACATATTGTCAAACACAACCTGGCCGACACTAGCGTTTTCATTTGCCAACGTTATCAAGACGGTGAGCAGGGTACAATTGAATGACCCTTCCAAACCACCTCATAGAGATATAAGTGTAATTGATGGGGCGGTTCGGTTATCCAAAGCAAAGACCAAAAGAAATTCGAGCACGCAGAGACCGACGAAAGGAATGATGGGCAGATCTATCTCGCACTTGTATTGAAACGGTCCTTAGCTGACTCCGAGGACTTCCGGTTATCAGTGGAAAGTTATAGATAATAGGGCCTGAAATTTTCACAAGTAACTGTTCGACTTTTTTGTCCTCTAAAATTTTCTGTATCTGTTATACAAAGAAGCATAATCTAGCATGACGAACGCAGCTGCAATAAATTAAAAACCTGGCAAAACGAAGCGATGAGGGGAGACGATACAGTACGATCTATCTATCTATCACCGGATGGCGGATAAGCATGGTGTCAACGCAACAACAATAAGCGATGACGAGGGACTGGGATGCAAAACAATAATAACCAATGATAATTAATTGCTGCCTAAGTGTAGTGAAGGATTCTCTTCAATTATATGGTGACTTTTGTCGCGTACAGAGTTTATGAAGCGGAAACTGAAAAGCTAAGAAGTACTGCACAGACTTTCAATTGTGTTGCAGCAATGTAAATCAATCGACCTAATTGAAGATGGAATCTGGTACTTCGAAGGAAAAATACTATCCAGCTGACAAGCGGACAGCTGATCAAACAGTTTATCATTTTGTTCACATACGATTTCAATCATCTATCATAAGGATATCACTGATTTGAACGCTTTCAAATATCATCCGAATAAACCATCATTACACATTGCAAGAACACACAGTAGCGGTGATTCATCTACAGGCTAATATATATCACAACATGAACGCACTACCTGAATGCTTCTGGCCTACCCATTTCCATTTCGGAGTGAATGGTATGCGAACGCTCACAAACTCCTTACACCAAACTACTCATTTACATATAGTAGATGTGCAGCAGAGTATTGTCCATGATGTTGCATAATTTTAGACTCTCAAATGATTCATCGCAAAGCAGTAGGATACAGGATGAATTGAAGCAACAGGAATGCTTTTAAAGACCAAATTGAAAGTGCATTCCGCACCACCGAAAACGTGTAAACAGATTTCGTGTGCGCGAATAAACTAGGATCAATTGCCGAAGCAACAGAGCAAGTGAAGGGACGAGTGCTTACCAAAAAGTAGACGGATACACCGAATCCGATCAGGGCCAACACGGCCAGGGCGGCGACAAACTTAAGCGCGTCCTGAGTAAATTTGAACTTGAGCGGTTTCGGGAACAGAATTGCACGCACCAGTTCTCCTTTGGCTGTGCGAAATCCGGTTCGGATGACCATTGCAAGTACTCGCTCTTCCGCATAGTTACGTGTTTGGATGACTGATGTTCCACCGAACAAAACATGTCGAGCAACCGAACGGATATTAAGCACCTCGTCCTTTTGTCGTTGCGGAAGTGGAGTCTTGGTGACGGGTACGCTCTCACCTATGATAAACCGACAAATTCAATTGAAAGCAATAACAGAATAGGACGGAACAGTTACTCAACTGCAATTGCACGTCATCACACTACTCCTTACGGAATAAAGGAATGTTTTTAGCAACATATCAGTTTGATGAACAGCTAAAAGGACAGAAACGGAAATCCTGAGCCCAGTGAATCAGAAGAACCACTTAAGACTTTGGTTGAGTAGTTAGCTCAAATTTACCCGAAGCTCGAATACTGCAGTCACGTATGGGGTGGATCCTCGTATTCTGCTGTTTTTCTCCTCGGCCGCGTTCAACATAAGGTCATCCAGTTGATCAACGANCGGTCTTTGGCTTCCAACCTGCAGTCGCTTTCCCATCGCAGAGCAGTTGCTTCTTTATCTCTTTTCTATTGATACGATTTTGGCTTCTGGTCTTTTGAATTCTCTTCAGTGGTCTCCCTCCCTTTGACCTTTCTTTGCCCATTTCGTTCTCAGTTGGGCGGTCACCATTTCTATCCCTAGATGATGAACCACCATCTTCCAGTTTTCTTTATTTTCTTTCCAGGACTGTCGAAGGGAACACGCTTTTCATCTCTGTATTTCCAAGCACTTATAAACTTGCTTTTTCCAAAGGCCGGATTAACAAATTGATTCTCACTTGAATGTTTCCCTACATACCTTCCCCCTCACAGTGTCATCAACTATGTGGTGTACCCCTCTCGCTGTTAATCACTGTGTAACAAAAAAATCCTATTAACGGGTAAACAAACCACTCGGCAAAGCTTCACTGCGAATTCCAGGAATAGGGGTTCCAATTTCTATTTCCAAACGGGTACTGGTAGACAAAACAGACGACGTTAGAGCTTAGGGTGACTACTAAAGCAAGCCTCATTGACACAGCAGCTCTATTCCTTAGAGAAATCCTTTTAACGCGAGAGTAATGGAGGATTTTATTTAACTTCAAAGAAGAAAATTGTCTTGAATAGAGCAAATGAAGCGTGAAGTGAAAGGCTAGGAAGCACTGGAAGCTACTTCGACCTGATTAGGTCTCAGTAGCAGTGCAAATCCATCGACCCAACCGGGGATCAAACCCGAGACCTCACAGACGGAACACAAGCATGCCACCCACTTGGGCACCCAACAGCTGATCAGACCGTTTTTCATTTTCCATTGACAAGATATAGAACAACCCATCTTTGCGAGCTTATTGCGAGCATTGCGCCTCGCTCATCTTATCCTTTTAAGTCGCTTCTCAACGGTCAGATGAACATATACCTGTGCAAACCAAGGCGTTTCTTATTGTAAAAGCTGTATTGAACAAATATTCACTACACTCAGCAGTTTGGCGTACCACAAGTTTCAACAGCCAACAACAGCCTGCCTCAGGCGTTATCTTTTACTCTCTAATGGGAGATTGGGGTTGCAAATGATATCGACATAAAAAATGATCCCATTAAAATAAAGATATTTCAACTTCAGGGAAATGCCACGTCAATATCAGTCCAGTTTACGCATTTTGAGCCTGATGAATGAGTGCGGTCACTTCCTTAAGTGGGCTATCGTCGTTTATCATACAGGGGCCACTAAGGAAAAGAAATCAACACTAATCAACTTTTGATTATCTAATTTTAAAGAAGGAGCATTACTAGAACATCCCTTTGCACTTTGAAGGTGAAGAGAGCATTAATTTGTTCAACGCAGCCGCGACCTAACCAGAATACTGCCTGGTGTTGGCGGATATTCACTTCTCTCCAAGGCGTCAGGCGTGAAGTAATACGGAGATTAAGGCATTGGTGGCTATCAGCATTTAACTTCCGCACTCACTGCGAGATCAATTCTGGAAATCAAGATCCTCCCATCAGGCGTTTCAGATAGAACAGTCAGGCAGCAGCCAGTTTCGCTGAACTAATTAATTCGGCCCACCTGTTTTCGCTGTCCTAAGGCTTGTCATGATTCAACTTTGCAGATGTCACTTATGCCTATTTTGCTACTGGACCGTTGGGGTGTGTCGATTCTTCTGCATTAAGACTACTAATTCCTAAAAGATCCAGTGTATTAAACAGGCATTAGATGCGTAGCCACAAACGACATTCGTTCCTGGATGCATTTTGCGTTGAACTTGACTCCATTGTTTATTCTGTCAGGTTGCAGAGCTTTAGTGCATGCTCCAGCTACTCCCTATAGCAAGAACCAGCAGCTGGATCAGACAGGTGATGAGGGACTTTCGAGTGACCAGGAGTCTATCCACTTCGTGCAGTAGGTCTAATGCGTGATTGAAATTGATGAAATGAATCACCATGAGCTGATCGCTGAGAGAGCAGAGCAAAACGACCTCCTAGACAGGCTTCGGATGTGCCCGGTTTTCAACCTGCGAGCTAAGATCACCTGCAAGCATGACTATTGCGGAGTTTAAACTCAAATAGATAAGTACAGCGAGTCGTAAAATTCATCCTTCTGTGTAGCCAGTTGAGGCATATGCAGAAAGGATGAAAAACACTCTTTCAAACAGTAACTGCACTCAGGGACCTAAACGGGCATAAACGCTATCTATTGTAGCACAACGACTGTTGTCGCACCATTGCTCGTGTTTTGTGGGACAAACGCGAGAGTAGTTATTAAGCGCATCAGCGAGTGCTGTACCTTGGAAGCCCTCCCTTCAAACACAGTACTTTGCCACATTCCTTGCGACGTTTCGGACGTGTGTGAGAAATGCACGTCCAGCGTTACTACCAAGCATCCTTGTTATGAGCGTTGACCACGGTCTGGGACACCAAGAAGCTAACAGGGGCTTTCGCTCATGTAGGCCAGTGTCGACTTGCGGAGCGCGACGAATGCGAGATGTCTTCGGCTGGAAAGCTTGAAAAACACTGCTCTTAACCCGGATCGGCGGTGGAGCTGGTCAACTCTCTGCTGTTTCTCCACATCCTAACAAAAAAATACTAAAAATATCTCAAAATGATATCCAATCAAAACGCACAATTCTCTCCTTTTTATTCCGCTTCTACATGCATTTATTCTTATTTAGTAAACACCTACACGACGATTCGATGGACATAGTCTGAAACCAGATCGGTTAAACGAAACTGCATGTAAATAGACAAATAGAAAATCGAACAAAAATTGAAGTGGAACGGTTTAAGTATTGAAAACTGTCTAAGACCAAATTAAGGTGATAATACCGGGCTTCGAATCTTAGAACTGGCGGACCGGTGCGTACCAAAGACAACGGCGTCAGGAACGTAGTCATCATTACGACGAGACGGCATCTTGACGTGGTGTGACGTCTTGTGCACCTCCATGACCCAACAAGCTACACAGGATGGCTTTTACCGAGCCAAAGATCTAATCATGCCTGGAAGGTTAATGGGTAGAGGTCAGGCGAAGTCCAGTCCCCTGGTCCTCCACGCTGGGGATTCGACTTGAGTCGGCGTCTCAGTCGATAAAACGTGTTGGAGGAATAATTGATCCAAGTTTATGGGCCTCCAATCCGCCTTGACCGCTGCCTTACAGTTAGATTTTTGTCAGAACTAGAGGCTTTGGTTGAGAACCCTAACCATTCTCCTGCTTAATGGCTGGACACCCTGGCAGTACCCGTCCATAAAGCTGCAATGAACACAAACAAAAAATAATTTCATACTGCATCGGTCGTCGCGCAG